GGAGGGGGGAGGGGGACATGAGTGATAGTGAGCTGACACCTTGATAGACAAACATTAACATTTAGAAACAAGACCGGTTAATAAATTACACATTGTGAACAACTACGTATAGTAAAAATTGAAAAAACTAGTTGAATCTTAAATACTTGACTTAAAAAAAAAAGAGGTACAAGTGGTGAGATCGAACCTCCAGAAAATAGTTTTGCGCTCTTTCCATTTCTTTTTTACTTTACTTGTTATCCATCATCATTTGATATCACATATTTGCTCATGTCTCGCAAATACACTAAAGAAATATAATTGCTAAGTACATTCATTGTTCTCATATGTAAACTTATTATTCTTATATATTTATAATATAATTATCCTTCTTAAAAGCTTAATTAAAAAGTGTGAATTTCATCATTGTTTAAGCATTTTGCACATATTAATTAGTAAGGATATTGTTACAAAGGCTAATATTAGCAAAATATTTTTCCGAAAAATTAAAATATTTACACATTATATGCCACATAATATTTAATATAAAAATTTATCTAACAAACTTATTGTCAAATAATAAATCCGTTAACGATAATAGTTATATTAATAGATAATAGAGTAATATATTTTTTTTTGCAGAGAGAGAAAATAAAAATTAAACAATAAATTGAGTTAAATATTTAAATAGTACAAATACAGATTTAATATTTAGAATTATTTTAAATTATATATTTTATTTTTTAATATCAATTTTATCTTCCAATTTCGCACCCTAACCGAGCCAAGCAAAACCGTCATGACCCAACTTTGTTGTGCCCGAGCGAAGCAAAATACCTTCACGGTTCCCAGGTAGCTTTCGTCCTCTCCCTTTTTCGTGCGTGAACTGTTCTTCTCCCTCTCTTTCCTCCGGTGTTCCTGTCCCTGTCTAGGTCTCTGTCCCTTTCTCCCGCTCCCCAAGTGAAGGCACTGTATTATCTCATCTCCTCGAATCTCGTCTTCGTCAAGTTTTAACATTCCCATTTTTAGGTAATCTTTTGGTTCATTCTTCTGCGGGTCATACTCTTTCAATACTTTATTCTTTAATCAGTTTATTTTGTACTCTGAAGGTGATGCTTGACGGTTTTGTTGAAAGTCTTGATTTTTTTTTTGTGCTTTCTTTGATCTGACATGTAATGGTTATTAGTTTTTAATTTTTAAGAGCTGATTTTATTTACTGTTTTATGCCTGTTTTGTTATGGTTAATGATAATATTTCCAAATGCTAATTGATTCATTAATGCTTGCTGATTTTCTCAAGTGGGTTTTTTTGGTTTAGTGTGCTGACGCGACCTTAGGGTTTAGTTTCTAAGCTCCTTGCTGTTTGGATTCAGGAAATGTACGGTCTTGCTTAAAAAATCCAAGTTCGTTAAGTATGATATGCCAAGTTTTTCTACGTATCTGGTTGTTATTTTGTTTATGACACTTTTCTAGTTGCGAATATTGTGAAGGGTTAGCTTAATTCATGTCTTTCCATGGGTTCTCCAACAATGCGGTTGTTCTTCTTCCCTTCCTGGTTACATGTAAACAATACTGATTAGCAACAGGACAATTTCAATGTTTTAGAGTTATTCCAAACATATCTGAATATCTTTTTACAAGGTATTAGTTGCTTTCCTTTGAAGTTAGATTAAGTTGCAGCTGGTTTGTTGTGAGGCTGAGTTCCTTTTTTGTTGTCTTTGCAGCCAATAGTTATTTTTATGGTTCGCTATTATGTTCTGGGCCATTCTCTAATTCAATCTGTTATAGAACTTTTTGTTCCATTGCTGCTGATTTTTCTTCTCCTAATTAGTGATAAAAATTTCTTGTCCAATTATTATTTTCTTAATTCAATCATATAGAAACATTATTCATGCGAGTCTTTTGTTATATGTATTGGTCTTGAACAGAATGGCCTTGCCGACTGCAAGCCCTCCAGCTACTCCCAGTGCTCAGTTAGTTGGAAATGCTTTTGTTGATCAGTACTACCATATTCTTCACCACTCACCAGAATTGGTTTATAGATTTTATCAGGATTCAAGTGTGTTAAGCAGACCAGACTCTAATGGTGTGGTGACATCAGTTACAACTATGCAAGTACGCTTCAGGAGGCTTTTTAAAAAAAAAAAATTCTGATGTTGATGTATTCTTTTGAGTGCATTTGCATGAAATTTTATAGTATACATTCCAACCTTATCCTGAATAACAATAAATACAACAACAAACAGAATATTAACAATATTACCTTAATTATTTTATCTTTGTGGTGAGGATTCATAAGGTCTGAATAGTTACTTCTGTAGTTTCACAAGTTTTGGTAATTTCCTCAGTTCCATATGTATGATTTAGTTTTTGCATCAATCTACAGCTGTTTGTTGCTTGGCAAATATTTAAAGTGCACCCAGACTGCAAAGTACTCATTTATTTACAGGTTCTGAAGCTCTTTAATGACCCAGTTTGGCAATTTGGTGTGGTAGAACATGAAGAAGGTAATATAGGGTAGTGATGGGTAGACTAAGTACTTATTAAACTTTTGGATAGTTGAATAAGGGATTGCATAGGATATTGTGTACCATCCAAGAACTAGAATAGCTAAAATGTTAATATAATTAATATAATAATCATAATGAAATATTATTAAAATAATTTAAATATAATTATAAAAATTTTATATCATATTTTGAAATATCAATTTAATGATAAGTAAGCAAAAGAAATAGAAAAACCCTGGTCTTTGTATTGCAGAGGTCAACAATGTTCATATATTTCATGTTCTCCTGAAGGCTATCTCATCAGTTATTCAGTGCTAATGATGGATTATCTTTTTTCTTTTATTAAAATGGATTTTATATCTTGCCTAAATTTAGGCCCTTGGTAATTCACTGTCCAAAATATGACTATTTGAGCAGAAGGATTACTCTGAAGTCAGAAAAGTGTTCTTTTTTTCCTTTCCCTATTGGTAATTCCTGCTGTATGATGGTTACATTGGACTTCTCCAGTGCTTTAACACTATAAATGTGCTAAATTCGTAGTTTTACACAGTTCATCCTTCAAATATGGCATGAAAGACAGTTGCTTCTGGATGGTTGCTGTAAAATTCAAAAGCATGTAATAGACTGAAGAAAAACTGAAGAAATAACTGGTTATCAAGAACATGTTATCAACTATTAAGCCTTCTCTCTCTCCCCTACTCAACATCCATGATAGCAACAACAACAAATGACAAACAGTGTAAAGTTTTTGGAAAGATAATAGTTAGGTTGCCTTTCAGATTCTGCTTGCAACAGATATTAAACATTTCAAATTAACAGGAACCATTTTCTGGTGCAACATGTGATGGTTATTCTTCCTGAACAGGGTATCAACGAAAAAATTCTCTCCCTGGATTATAAGAACTATAAGGCAGAGATTAAAACAGCAGATGCTCAGAAGTCATATGGGGAAGGTGTGACTGTGTTAGTAACTGGGTGCTTGACAGGGAACGATAACTTAAGGAGGAAATTTGCGCAATCCTTTTTTCTTGCACCCCAAGACAATGGATACTTTGTTCTGAATGATGTGTTTAGGTATGTGGAAGATGATGATCCATTGGAGAAGCTTCCAGTTAACAATGTTGACAATGCCATCCAAGCACCCATTCCAGAACCAGGTTGACTTTTCTAATATTTATATTTCAGTATCTTTTTACTCTATGGATATTTTGTACACAATCCTTCAATATGCTTATAGTGCTTCCTCGCAGATGCCTCTCCTGTTCCTGCTTCTGCACCTGATCCAGTAACTCTTGCGGATGAGGATCAAAAGTTCACAGAGAAAGCTACTGATGCATCTGGGTGTGAGATTCAAATTGAAAAGGAACCTGTTGTGGAACCTCAGCCTCTTTCGAATGGGATTGATATGTCTGTAGCTGTTGAATCTACTTCTGCTGCAGTCCAAGAGGATGCACCAAAAAAATCTTATGCATCAATTGTGAGTTAATGAACAATTTTCTTCACTTTTCATCTGACTTGAATTGCTTCTTGAAGTTTATCAGTTATTGTAGGTGAAAGTGGCGAAAGGCAGTTCAGGACATACTAAAGTTTATGTACCTACTAATACTTCCGAAGTGCTTCCCAAGAAAACTGATGACCACCCTGTTATGCCAGCAGCATCTGCTCCAGAACCTGAAGAGTCTGCCGTAAGTATCATTGATGCCCCTGAGAGTATTAATACTCATGAAGAAGGTATTTACTCTTCATCATGCTTAGATATACTGCGCTCAAAATTTTTTGTGAAATTTATTTTAAATGTGTTAGTCTAACAACGACTTCAATTCACAGTTGAGGGCTACTCCATTTACATCCGAAATTTGCCCTTCAACACATCAGCTTCACAGCTTGAAATGGAGTTCAAGAAGTTTGGGCCAATAAAAAAAGATGGTATACAAGTCCGAAATAACAAGGTTTGTAAGATTTTGGTGTTAGTGAAACATTCTATTTTCTGTTTCCCAATAACAAAATAACATATTGTCTTCTATATATATATATATACATTTGAAATATCAATTATATTGTCTTCTACATTGTTATGCATTACAAAAGAGTGTGTTTGGCTAAGCATATGAGCAGGTCTACATGAGCTTATAAGCTCTTTAACTCGTTAAAATTTTTTACGCGTTTAGCAAATACCTAGGAGTTTATTAGTCAGACAACTTATAAGCCCTTGTACCAACATTTTAAGAAAGTTGGTTGTATCTAATTGTTTTTAGAGAGCTTATAGGCTTTCCAGAAAGTGCAGCTGTTGGCCAATACAAAATCTAAATTACTCCTTAACAATTTCAAAAATACTAACATGTATTATTAACCCATAATTAAGTATGAATATAAATAAAAAAATAGTAATTTAAATAAAATATTACTTTGTATTTAATTTAGATATTAATTTGTATAAAATATAAATAACATTTTTCAGAGGAAAAATATATTCTTTGGGAACTCTACAGATAGAAAATAGTAAGGTTTTTTTATTTTTTGGATAGAATTAACAGCTTATAAGTTACATATTTAACAAACATGTAAATAAACTAATACAGCATATAGGATCATGTTAGTCAAACACTTCGACAGCTTATTTATAAAAGAAAAAATTGCATCAATTATTACTATCAGAGAGCTTATAAGTTGTAGAATAAGTTAAGTCAAATGCCCTCTAACTGTGGTTCTTTCTTTTTCTTCCATATTTTATCCATCCAGCAACAAGGATACTGTTTTGGTTTTGTTGAATTTCTGTCCTTGAGTTCCATGGATGATGCAATCAAGGTATGTCTTCTGTGAATTGACGTTTTGATTTCCGTTAGTATCCCATGATATTTTTCTTTTAAGGAACCATTAGTATTATATGGTTGTTTGAATATTGTAGTAACATTCCTCATTTCAAAAAATAAATTATTTTGAGTATTTCACTCTTATATTCTTTCACATACGAGGAAGATGTGATACTGTAGGGTAGTTTAGGGATTAATTTGTCTACATAAGAGTATGAGTTTAAATCTAGATATCACATCTAAACTTTCTTAAATATCATACTTAAGAATTCTTAAATATTACACTTTTGGCTTGATTAGATCATAGCACTATAAAGGTTGAGAAAATTTGCAAGAACATTTTATTAAATAATTGGACTGCTCTTAAAAATAAGATTTCACGCGTGCTTTCTTAGTAACTTTGCTGAAATAGGTCTACCCATGGCACAGAATATGAATATCCTAAAAGGGGCATATTTCAATATTACAAAATATTTACTTAATTGTGTCTTTATATATTAGTAAGGGTTTTATCTTATGTAGGAACTATCAAAATAGCTTAAATATCACACTTAAGAGCTGTTTAGTAATTTCATTTCTTAGTTAGAAGGTTTAATTTTGTTATTATTTATCTATTTAAGTATTCAATTCATATTAGGTTTTGTAGACAACCTATAATATATATGGGTGCTTCATCATTATAGGACTGCCTTTACGAAAAGAAATCTATTAATGCTGTCATTGAATTAAGTGCCTAACAACTTTTTTATTTTAATTGTGAGTCTTACTACAACTCTGCAATTGTTCTAGTTGTAATCTCTGTGATTGTAAATTAGATTTATTTATTTATACTCTTTGTCCTCTCCTATCTTTCTAGAACCTATTGTTTATAGATATCAAAGCTAAAATTCTTGATTTTGGTATCAAATTAATGCCCACAAAAAACCTCAAACTTCCCAAATCACCAAAAATGAAAAGAACCAAATAAGCCGACAACAGAAAAACTAGAGAACACTTATGAGACTGCATAAGCAGACAACCACTCTCGACCTCTTCCTGAAATTTAGCCACTGCTGGGATGTTGTTGACGCTGCTTCTTCCAGCAACTTCATAAGATTTCCGCCAATACCTCCTTTGGTCAGAATACGCTCTGCTTAGAGACTTAGCCGTAAACTCCCCTTTTTGGGTAACGTCAACAACAATTGACACCAAGTAGGCAACCGGCAGTTTCCAGACAAATCTTCATCGGGAAGATTCGTGTCAAACAATCACTTTAAGCTGATGCATGATCACCATGTGTTACTAGCACCCATTGATCTTCGCATCAGAAGGCTCATTGTTGATAGGTTTGCTGAGCATTAACCTGAACAGTTTTACCAGCTTGATTAAGCCACTTCCAAACTGGTTCTTGACCAGTTCATACCAGTTCTCGAGGTTTATCAGCTTGTTCTTACATTCTCCGGGGCTTGTTTGGACAAATTCACAATCTATAGCCATTTTTAAGCAGATTGATTATTTGGACTAGTTAATGTTAATTCATGGTACAATCAAAATGATTTCATTCAAAATGTAAGTTAAGCTTTTCAATTGACTTGGTGGAAGACAGAACGACTACCTTGGTAGCAGTGTCATTGCTCCATTTGGTAAAGAGCTTGAGCAATGGCTTAGGAACACTGGTAATATGCTTATAAAAGCTCTACATTCAACTAATGAACTTTATATTCTTGACCAAGTTAAATTGTCTATCAAATGTAATGCTAGACAAAGAGAGCTTGACCACAATAGTTGGAGAAAATTTATTAAGAACCAATATTGGAGATCTTGAATCTCAATAATCAAATTAATAACTTGGTATTTGTATTTTATTTCAAAAAAATAACTTGGTATTTATATAGTAATCATATAAATGGTTTGCCAATTGATCATGGAAAAAAAGAGGATATATATCTCTTTATCCATTGTAGGAAATTCCAGTCAACAACGATGTCTAGCATATCACATAAGCTCTCATACACTTGTGCAATTCTTGATTCTCTTAGTCAGGCAAGTCACGATTGCTGGGGTGGTGATATGTGTGATGTTATGCCACATATGGCGTGGCTTATATTTCAACGACCATGTAACTTCACTCACTGAACTCCTTATTCAAGATAGTAAAACTTGCTTGGTCAGGAGGCTCTTCTTTGTTATTATTTTGATCACAGCTTTTTCATAGTGAGAGGACTAGATCTTAAATTACTTGTGCTATGGGAATCTGCTTCTGTTGATTGTGATCCATGGTTGGACCATTTTGATATTCGAACTTCATTTGGTTTCCATATTAAGTTCTGTTCGACTTCATTAAAAGTTTCACAATTACATTTCAGGCTTCACCTATAACAATTTTGGGGCGACAAGCTGTTATTGAAGCTAAGAGAACTACAACACGTGGTAAGTGAGACATACCCTATATTCAAAGGGGAGTAGAGTAGTGTGTGCTGTGTCTTTGTAAGAAACCCAGTTAAGACTTGAGAAAATGAGTGATTTTTATTTATTTGTTGATGTTTCCTGGATGTTGCACAGAAGTTATGGGATGCAAGATATTATATCGATCTAACAAGTTATAATTGGTTTTGTTGCTTTGCAGTTGATGTTGAAAGAGGGAGTAGGTACTCTCCTGGAAGAGGAGGTTTCCAAAATGAATATTTTAGGAGCCGTGGGAATTATGGTGGAGGGGTTCGTAACTTTGGTAGAAATGAATATAGGAGCCGGGGTGAATTTTCAGGTAGAGGTCGAGGTCCAATAAGGCGCGGTGACGGTTATCAGCAAGGTAGAGGGAGAGGTGGTCGTTCAGGTGGACCGAGGCAGAACACTGCATGAGAGTGTTCCTAATGATATTCCTATGACAATATTTTTGACACGGTTAGTAGATTTTAGAAAAACCGAAAGCCAGTAACTAGAGCAGATGCTAATTTTAGAAGCAAGTATTAGATTTTGGGGACTGGAATAGAGCAACTTTTAGAGGAAAAGGCATTTTGTTTAGTGTAGTTTTCCTTTTTCTTTTGGGTAGAAAATGTGTGTAGTTCCTCTACTTAAGCATGGTCTTCTACCTTTGTAACTTTGCAAATCTTAAAGTTAACATGGGAAGCCTTAAGATTTTACTGCGATGGTGATTGAGAGTTTTAGCTGTAGTAGCTCAAGTGGCATATTTCTGGATTCGATTGTTCCAAGGAAGATATGATTGAATTGCCATAATGGTTCATAAGCGATTTCTAACGGCTGCCAATGCATTCTCAACATGGTATAAATATCTGCAGAAAGGTTGCACATTTATTCACACTATCATCAGATCATCCTTACAATATTATTATTGTAACTAACAGTTTCATTTGTTAGATTTCATGTGGTTGACACTAGAACTACTTAGCTTGAACAGGAAATGTTAGTTTAAGGTTCAGGATACGATGGATTAACTGGTGTAGGTTGTAAATATTTGTGGATTAACTATTCCTACCAGTATCAAAGATGGAACAAGAGATGGGCACAGGTTATGCCATATGTGTACGTCCGCACCACCAATAACAACATAAATTCGTATTAGATCGGAGGAGCGGGTATAAAGTTTTTAATCCATTGTTCATTCTGAGAGTAAATTTTTTTCTTTTGTTATTCATTCTGTTTACTCATTTATTAAAATTTTAAAGAATTTTCTAAATACTTTAAATAAATTTTATTAAATGTGCAATAAAAATATATAATTTTAGAAATGTTTAAATATATTTTTCAAGGTAATTAAAATTAAGATTTTAACTGGGGCGTGGGGCTCAGCTGCTCGGGTCAAGTCTTAGAGCCCAATAGGACAAGAATAATGGGCCAATTTAGACCGTTCAAGCCCAACACCCTGGACTGTATTTTTTGGGCCAAGTTGCAGTACCATGAGCCATAACATGTACTCCCTTTGGAAAAAATATTTTGAAATCTTCAGATTTCTCACTCACTTATAATCTAATTAAAAATTAAAAGTAATTTAAACTTTGTTAGTAAATTTGAATCAGGCGACTTTGATTCTTTCCCATGCTAATTCAGTCTGCCACCCTTATCTTTGAATTATAATTTTCAAACAAATGATGGAGGAAGATTTGATTATAACACAATATTTTCTTTTGAAATAGTATGCTCCAAACATGCATAACACAAAGACCACACTTTTAAACACGTGTCAACTTCTTACTGGATTCAACCTTCCCTTATCGCCTCTCAATCTCAAACCTCCCGGAAAAATCAATTCTTCGAAAAAGACATATTTTCGGGGGGGGATAAATAATTTTTTAAAAAGAAAAAAGTTGAAAGAGACCACTTTAAAAATCATTAGATATTAAAATATGTTGTCAGAATCATCATTATTTTTAAATAAAATAAAATTTCTTCGAACCTTATATTATAATTAATAAAAAATTAGGAGTAATAATTATTTTTAATTAATTAAAAGTAAATAATTCCGACAAGAAGCCGTGGCTCCGACAGCGCCACATATGACGTATCGCTTTTGTCAAGGGGAAATCACCGGTCACGTCGCACATTTTGCAAGTTGATAGCCTGCTGAACTGTTTCTATGCAACTACGAGCCGACACGTGTCTGAAACCCAGATCCCTGACTCGAAAAATTTTATGGGACCCACCCATGATCTTCTCTTGATTTTTTGCGTGTAATACGGAGATTCCTTTTTGATTGATTTTTATCCATCCTCTTTTATTTTCTGCACGATGCTTTTAGTTGGGTCTTTCAAGCTCTGGGAGCCGTTAGATCTAACTAACATCTCAGATCATGACCTCATGATAATCTTTTGATTTTAGGAAACTAATTTTATTTTCTTTTACCAAATCTAATAGTTATGGAATTTGGAAATCCTGAAATAATGGGCAAATCTATTATGACAATTTATTTTCGGTAAAGCTTACTAATAATAATAATAATAATAATTAGTAGTTATAGTCTTTGAAAATTTATTTTTATAAGACATTATTAAGATATGATACAAAATTTTTTGTCTTTTAGTAATTATAGAAATATAATTATATTGAAATATATTTATATATTTAAATGTTATTTTAAGATTATGTAATTAATGTTATCTCAATTAGTAAGTAATTGAAACCAATTGATGTTTTTTTTTTTTCTTTTTGACTTCAACTACCAATCAAGACACGTAGATATTAAGTTGGACAAATAAAAATTTAAGAGATTAACAACTTAACCAGTATGATAAAATCACATAATTATGAGGCCATAATTGTCTCTTATCGTTATTCCCCAATTTTTACAGCATTTATTATATTGTTCCATGATGCCAAGAGACACCATAAACTCCTACAAATAAATCACAAGCAAAATGATGCAATCTTCATACCAGCATCTTCTTTTTCTTACTCTCTTTATTCTCATTAAACTTAAACTACTCTAAGAACTAGAGTGATGTCATTGAAGGTAATGTGAGAGTAATCTTTTAACCCTCTATACAAGTTATAAACCCGTTAAAATAAAATGCAATACTTTCTTTATTACGCAGCATATCTCTAATCCAATTTTAGCTTCATTAAATTTTTATTTATTTTTTTATAAGCAAATTCTGTGACAATCAAGTTCAATTGTTGTAATTATTTTAAATTAAAAATAAAATTATTAATCATAATATTTCTAGCACTAAGATCATACTATGAGAATAAGCAATCCCCAAAGCATTACCAAACAAAGGCTAGAACTCTAGATGAAGTGATAGCCATTTAATCTCTTTCAGTTGCAATCTTTTTTATTCCTTATTTTACTTTATTGTCTCTATTTCTTTAAATATAACATAATTCATACATATTCTTAAAAAATAGAAACTGTTTTAAGTCTTAAGAAATTGTAAATTTTGAATTTATGTGTGAAATTATAATTTTCCGGAAAAAAAAAAAAAAGAAGATACCCATGTGGTTATGCTTTATGAACTTGAAAATTTAAAACCTACTCTTATGTAAAATATTAATTGTCCTTCAATCAAAATTTTATGTAAAAAAATATATATGACTATCCAAAAATTTTAGATAAGATTTCATGTAAATCTATTGGTTATCAAACCTATAATATATTCATTACCGTAATACACATTTATAATAAACTTATAAGAAAGACATATACAAAGTTATATGTACATTTAGTTAAATATCATACATAGGACGAACTTAATATGTGACATATTGTTTCTTTTTAGCATCAAGATAAAATTGAGTTAAATTAAAAAAGAAAACTATCTATAAGAAAAAAATAAGTGATTAGATTCTTATTACATCTATAATAAATACATGTTAACATTTGGCACCAAAGAGCATCACTAAGAAGACTTTCATCATGGGGTAACTTCTTGCACTAAAAAAATCTTTAGCAAAAAGATACACTTAACGTTAAATAAGACATTTGGCATGTTAAAATATATGACTTTCACTTAACACCTAACATTAAATGTATGCCTAGCATCAGAAGGATAACTGATAGTTGTGATTTGAAACTAAAAAGATATCAAGCACTATAACAACACCTAATATTAAATATGTACTTGGCCGACTTGTACTATCTTGTACTATGATGTAGTTGATATGAACACATTAATTAAGGTATTTATCATACATAAATGAATATATATATAAATATTACATATAAAATTCTTGAACGTAATACTTTAAATAGACATAAGCTTCTTCTCTATAAATAAGTGACAACATAATAGCTTAATAAATAATTTTTAAAAATAAAATTATTTATTCTTTTAAATATTGTCTTAAATAGTTTTTGACCTAAATTTCAAACATGTTCATTAGAAAACCCTCAAAGGTCACTTTTTGCTACAAATATATTGATCTTGACGCTCTACGTATCACTCGATATCATTGTTCACCTAGGTATTTAAATTCTTCCCATTTTTTTATACTTTCATAATACCACATCAAAGCTCCTCAAAATTTACATAAAAATAGTATAATTAATGGGATGGAGGACAACAATTTAGTGGTAGCAAAATAAAGGGTCGGTTACTCTTGAAGGTCCACCCATTACAATCAATTATCTACCGAAGTGTTTACTATAAGATGTTCTATTAAAAATTATTTGTAAAAGCTTGCATTTACATCCATTTAATAGGTATCCAATTGTTTATTATATTTTTTGTTACAATTCTTTTATTGCCCAACATGTTGTTTTTACTTTAAAAATTCTTATATATCTTCACTAACCTTTTTATTATTAAAAAATAGAAAGAAATTACCACTAAAATGGTCTTAATATCTACGTAAGGCTTACACAAATATTAAGGGGCAATATAACAGTTAAACTAATAACCCTAAAACATATATCTCAACTTCACATTAAAAAAAATATAGTAGAGAGAGATATTAAGAGTTACCTAATATGGTAGGAAAATAATATTTTTCTAGATCACCTTAACATAAATATTAAGAATCTAAAATATGATGAGTAGGCGATCAATTGAAAAACAAATGTAAATTAGAACTTTTAAAAATCTTTTTACAAGGAATAATAAAAATAATAAATAAATATAAAATAAAAATAACATACTATTAGTCAATGTTTAATATTTTATTAATAAAATGAGTACTACAAAGTATTTTTTCGATAATTATAATAATTTTTAGTAAAATATAAAACTAATAACGCTTATCTCTTGGCAACTTAATTAGAATTGATTATTCTACCTTTTAATGGTCAAGATAGAACCAAATCTCTATCTTTAAATGATTAAGTTGAAACTAAGTACTATATAGATGCAATTTATTTGGTGAATATGTATCTCTTATTTTCTGATTGATATATATATACATACATATATATACACTTCATTGATCTTTTTTGCCCTTATCTAAAGTATTTTGTAGATAAACTACGACCTTTTTTTATTATTGTCCTTAATTCTAAGTTATCTACATATTAACTTGTTGATAAAATAGTATTCGAGAAATCAATTCCTCAAATACCTTAACATGATATAAGAGCAATTTTGATCCAACATATCTATACGAACAATTAACTCCTCCTGACCATCTCCACTGATTTTATAAGCAAAATTAATTTTATTTTCGTAATTTCTTTTGTTATTTTTGGCTTACAAATATGAAACAAAATAGACCATAAAAATTTATTATTCTTGGTATTAGTAAACTATTTTAGAAAATTAATTTTATTTTTTATAAATCAAACTAAAATATTTCTATTTGAAATTAGAAAAATTTCATGTCATTATTTATTAAATTTTCAAAATTTGTCATATAAAATTTATAAATCAAGCATATTATTTATTTATTTTTTATAATTTGTAAACTTTACAAAATTATATCAATCGTACTAAAGAAAAATGAACCAGGCCACACGCCTCATGCACTAAGAGCAAACAGAAAAGGACATGGCGTCTTCTATTCTAATTAATTAAACCACAAGAACTCCATTGTTTCAACACGTGTCACATTCAACATTAAAACAGTGCCGTTCCTTACACGTGCGGACAAAGCTCTTCACGAGAAGACGATAACTCACATCGAAGCTTTAGAGATATGTTGAATCTCGACACGAATCTCGAAGACTGTCGGCCCACGTGGTACCTTCTCCTCTACTTCCTCCATCAAAACGAACCGTTTCCGTTAGAGAGAGAGAGAGAGATTAAAGTAACACGTGGCTCTTTCGGAAGCAACTATATTCTTGGTACGACACGTGTTTCAAAAAACGACAGCTGTTTCATTACCTTCACGAGTCACAACGCTTGTTTTTGGCGTCTCCTTGGAATCTGGTGTTTGACACCACGCGGGCCGTTTAAGGGGCTCTTCATAGACTCCACGTGGCAACTACTCATCATTTCGCTGAGGGTATTTTAGGTATTTCATTCTCCACAATTGGATGATTAATTAAACTTTCCGATCTTTTTCTTATTATTTCTTTCAGTTTCCTTCGGTTTTCTTTCTCTTTGTTTATTGGGCTTGCTGTGAACCACCAAATTTGCTTGTCGTCGGTGCGAGAAAATTTTGATAGACGCAAGTTTCGGATGAATTTGTGAATGGAGGAAATGGAACTTTTGAGCTCCTTTATGCTGTGTTCTTCTTCTCGGGGTTTGGATGCTTTTGTTTCAAGATTTTCTCTTTCGGGTTTAAAATTCAGTTCTCGGATTCTGCCTTTTGATCAAATTTCTTTACTTGGGTGTATCTATATTTGATAAAAAAAAAAAAATCTTTTTCTCCTCTAGCTTTGTTTTCTCTCCGTGCAAATGACAAGTTTTCCTGGAGATCTGTTTCGAAGATTCATGTCAACGACCACCACTAATTTTGTGCGCAGAGATGATAAAGAAGAAGAAATTGAGCTGAGCTTAGGGCTTTCATTGAATGGTCGTTTTGGCGTGGACCCAAGAGCGAAGAAACTCATTCGCTCTTCTTCTATACCTGATATTATCAAAGCCCCAGAAACAAAAGACAATGACACTGGTTGTGTTATCCCCATGGGCTGTCCTCCTCTTATGAGGACTTGTTCTCTGCCTACAGAGACAGAGGAAGAGTGGAGGAGGAGGAAGGAGTTGCAGACTCTAAGGAGAATGGAGGCTAAGAGAAAGCGGTCAGAAAAGCAGAGGAACTTGAAGGCTGTTAGAGACAGATATCGACATTCTGGAGAAGAGAATTGTGAAGAGGATAAGAAGGAAGACCAAGGTATTACGAGTTGTAATGAGATTTTACATTGTGCGGTGCCTAGTTGGGTTAATGGCAGCCGAGTATCAGGTGGGGTTGAATTGAAAACTGAAAAGCCTAATGGCTTGCTTCATGGAGTTGCTGAGGGTTTACCACCAGCGGAAACAGTTGTAGCATCACAAGGGTCAAACGGATCTCAGGGGATTGGATCGTCAGGAATTTCAGAATTTGATAGCCACCAAGCTCATGGTAACTCCCCGTGTTTTTCCTAATCTAATTTCAAGTTTTTTCTGGCGTTAAATCTGATGCTTTTATTAGTCTGGTTTTATCTAGATATAAAAGCAGAATTGCTCATACCTATTTCCTTTTTTGTTTTCTGATCCCCAATTGGTTTGCCTGTTATTGGGGGGGTTTTTTTTTTTTCTTCAAAATTGATGACTTGAAAAGAAGAAGAAAAAAAAAAACTCGTAAGTTTTGGGATCTTTATTTGCAGAATAATATTCTATCTCCATTAATAGGTTGATAAAAATCTTGTTGTTTATGTGAATTGGGTCTGGAAGCTTGTCAGTCGCTTCCTGGTAGAAGCCGGTTTAATGTGCTTTATGGGTTTCAAAATTGAACCAGAGATGATTCAGGTTACAAAATTTGATGTGGGATTTTAGGTTCTTACATGCCATTATTAATTTTCTTTTCCGAGTGAAGATCTGATTATAGTTTTAAAAGCTTTATTCTTCCTTTCAATTTTATCCCCTTCAATTTGATTTGGTATGACTATCTTTGATGGTAAGTTTTGGGTTTCTAAATGTACAAGGTATGAAGATGTTGATTCACACTGGGTTCCCACATTATGTTTCTTGATTCCATGAAAAGTATTCGTATTTTGTCCTCCTTTATAATGTGTAATCTGAATTGTATTGCATTATTCTTTGCTGGAATATCCGTGCCTTGTTACTATAAAATTTTCCAATCCATGCCAAACATTCTCTTTCATTATGGAATTTGGAATGCTGAATGATACACACACACATATATATATATATATATATCGTTTTATGGTTTTCTAATAAATCATTAAAATCATCGAAAAAGTGTTTGATCAAATTACTGTTTCAAGTCAAAATTTTTGTAAAATGATAAAAAAAAAAAAAACAATAAGTAATTGCTCTTTTTGCTTAAAACTTTAAGGGAATTCAATATTTTACTTTTAGTAGAAAATGTTGGTTATAGAAGCTTTTTCTATTATTTTTTTTAATTTTTTTTCAATTTAAAGGCTTTAGTTCTATTTTTACCAAAATTCATGTGATCTTTTAGCCTTATAAGACTGGCCTTTATGAACACCTCAATTAGTGCATCAAAGGGGGGTCAGTCATTGTAGCCATTTTGGACAAGAGATATAAGACCATTCCTAGACTAGATGGGTGTAGGACACTAAGCAATATATTCTAGTGCTAATTGGGCATGCCATATCTCTCTTGGATATGAAAAGAGAGGAAGGAGGAAAAAGAAATTTAAACATTTTGTCTTTACTAATAGGTTTATGCTGTGGTTAATAACATGCATGTCTGTCATTATTCGAATGTTGAGATCAATTCAATTTTCACTTCTATGAAATAGAAACGAGAATACAAATATTTATTAAAATAATAAAACTAAAAATTTGAAAGAAAATAGTATTCTAATTAGTAATTCTAAATTGGCTCTATGTTTCATTTGAGTCTAGTATTTTTGTGGTTTCTACCATGACAGGCAGGAAATCTCTATAGAAATTACAAGTTAAGTTGATTCAGTTGTTCATTAAATATGCAAATTATGATTAAATTTTATATATCGAATCAATGAGATTTACTGATAAGAACATAATAGAATTAAACCCAATGCAATAAAGTTTATTATTTATTTTCTATAATTACTATGTTTATATATAATTGAGTTTCCAGAGACTCTAAATTCAAGATGTGGATTTGAAAATGAATGGAATTTGAATAGTTTGTAATTATAATACACAGGCTTTTTGAGTGCATCGGGTATCATTGGTTCTCATTTGTTAAACGAACGTATGCAAAGATGGTGATGAGGAGTACGTACTTTACTGAGGTTCTTCGGCAATTTACAATATATCGGTTACATCCTACATAGATTTTGTTGATTCTGATCATGCTAGGTATATAGAGGAAAACTATTCCTAGATGATGAGGATCTATCTGCTCATCTCGGAGCTTATACTTATTCAGTCATCTGGAATGTCTTTGGTTATCGTTAGGAGTTGGGTTTTAGACTAGGGTACAATATGACATTTGTTTATGCAATAAATTTCTATTGACAAGTCGATTTTGCTTTGCACTGCAGGAACAAGCAGTGGGACTGAAGTGAGAAGCCCTGTCAGTGTTCAATCTTTACCAGAAAATGGAACAGTCATCACAAAAGCACCAGCAAAGTCTACCGAAGCTGTGATGAGCAAAGGCTCTAGCAAACCAACTGCTGTCGAAAGGGGAGTTAAGAATGTAGCGAGGAACATGTTGGAAGATATGCCATGTGTATCTACAAAAGGGGATGGCCCGAACGGGAGACGAGTAGAAGGTTTTCTTTACAGGTATCGGAAAGGTGAGGAGGTGAGAATAGTATGCGTTTGTCATGGCAATTTTCTCTCTCCGGCCGAGTTTGTGAAGCATGCTGGAGGTGGTGATGTAGCACATCCTCTGAAGCACATTGTTGTTAACCCATCTCCCCTGTTGTGAGGGTAAATTCTCAAGGAATTAACCGCTGAAGAGAGTGAAAAAAGAGAGAAACCAAAATGGTAATTAAATTTTCACTTCTTTGTGTAGTTGTTCTTTGAGTAATCTTTTCCTGGTTGGACTAATCATGCATTTGAAGAATTGGGGAGCTGGGAAGGCTAAGAAAGATTGATGAAAAATCACACGACTACTTATCTTAAAAGACTTGAGAAAAGATTTACCAGAAGAATTTGGGTATTAACAGTAAATTTGGGTCTGCAGAAGAATAAATATTTAGTATGTTGAAGAAAGGAAGCATTGCAGTTTTGTTGGTATTGAGAGGGATTGGATGTGTGGGTTTTCAAAGCTCCATAATGAATGGCAACATGCATGACTCCGTGACCTAATGAAATGATAAGGCCATTATGGGGAAGAGGAAGCCAAGTTGTAATTCAATAAGTCTGAACATCAATAATTTCTCCTCAGGGTACAGCTGTTGGCCAACTCAATATAATTTTTTAAATACAACTTGATTGGCATTTGGAATTCTGATAAAATGTTTATTAATTAAAATGCAAAAAAAATTATTTAATTTTTTATAAAAATAATTGTAAAATTTGTTATTATTATTTTTTTTTTTAAAAAAAAAACACAGAAATCATGTGTTGGATAAACTCTTTAATCTTTAACTTTTAACTGTTGTGAAAGTAAAGCCACTTTATCTTATTTTTATTAAAATAATTCCTATTTTCTAATCATTCATAATATTATATTTGAAAATTTTAATTCATATATTAATGGGAATTGAGTATTTTATTAATTATTTTATAATTTTTTAATAAAAAATTAATCTGTCATTTTTATTATACATTTTTGTATCGTAAACATGTATTTCTTATATTCTTATATAATAAATGTATTTTAATATAATTTACTTTTAGGGCAAAATACAAATCAATTACACTATCGATTAATATTGAAAATTATTATCTTCATTTTCCTTTTAAATAAATTATTATATAATCTATAACACTGTAATAATATACTTGTTTAAACAAAATCAAACATTCATAAGTATATACTTACCACAAGAGCAATAAATTGTACAACCAAACATTGTTAGAATAAATTACAAAAACATGACTACCTTGAAATTATACATAAAAAAATATTCATAGAATAAATTTGGCCGTTGGTAAGATCATCTCTGTGTACTTATTTTACTCTTGAAATATATGCAAGAAATACTCAGTTTTACCGTGTAAGCATATCTGCTTGTTGTTTCTGCAATATCACGTTGAGGAGTGCCACAGACCTCCTGCAATCTCCTCCTTTCTTCGAGAGATTCCTGTTCACAACCATCAAATAGATTAACATGCCTAAAAACCAAATGATCTTTAGCCCAATGCTGCTGCAAGTAATTGTAATCCATGCTCTGTTAACGTACAGGTCAAAGAATGAACTCAGATATTTTATTTTTGATTCACTGTGTACGGGATTCAAAACTAGATTTATCAAATCACAAAGAACATTATTTTTTTTCCAGATAACAAAGAACGTGTAGGAGAAACCAAGGGTATTCTGTACATGTAAAACTTCACATGTAGATAACACACCGGTCGATAAAAGGTTTCCCTTGGTTAAAGTGTTTATTTTTTCCAGTTATAGCTTTTTTATAAATATCATGGCGGATGATGATATCGATTTAGTGTTGAAATATCAATTTTTTATAAATATCAAAACTTGAATATCGATTTTAGTGTTGAACGGAAGAGCTTTTGGGTATTTCCGGAAAAGGGGGAAGGATGTATATTAACGTTTCGACATCGATTACAAATATGGAGCGGACTAATAATAGGAATATTTGATGAGAGCAAAATCAAGGAAAGATCATATCTTATCAACAAATTATCCTATTAATGCTTACAGTTGACTTCCAAAAGTTTAGGAGGGTGAGGCAGATTGACGAGTGTTTTAAAATTCAAAATTCCTCATTTAAATAGGTTGTCAACTCGCATCGTCAAACTGGGTCCCAGTTCAGCAGGATGCAATTCTGCCCACCTAATTGAAGCAAAATGGAGCCCGGACGAGGAGGTAACTGGGCCAGACAGGGTAAAGGAGTTCAGGCAGAGTGGCGGCGTAGGCATGATAGGGTTCAGGCTGATGCAGCGACCCAGAGGAAGGCGGAGGGACTCCAAGGAAAGAGAAACATGCAGAAAAGGAAAGTGCTTCAGGGTATAAGAATGAAAAAAGGCATCAGAGAATGCAAACGCTGGCGGAAACACTGATTGGAGTCAAGCATAGTGGGCCCATCAACATCAATGTGTCTGTCAGGAGGAGGCAACACAAGTGGCCCAGAGGGAGTAGGGGTGGAAGAGGAGAGGACCAACTGCCGTGATGGATACTTGATCCAGTGGAGGAGCTGAAAAACATTTCTTTGGGGAAGGTTCGACTAGCGTTGGTTTTGGCCACAGAGGTTGAGAAGACAGAGGTTGAGAAGACGCAGGATGAACTGAAACAGGAGGATGACAACGATAATGTGGATTCAGTAACAACTGTGTCCTCTTTTAACAGGAATGCAGGATCTTCTTAGAAATAATTTTGAAGGGGAACAGTAAGATAATACATCCAATGTGTGACAACAAGGAATGTAGAACCAGAGTTGGATCATGTGGCACAATAACAATTTCCCGCGGGGAAAGGATTTTGAGCAACTTCAAAATTTACACTGGCAACCCAACCAGGTCCTATATACACAAACACAACCCTGAAACTTATTTTAGTATAATTTTTGTTGATCCCATGGCAGGAAATAAAAATAGCATGGAGCATCTTCGAAACCGTATACTCTCTATTCCAAAAACCTACGAGGAAAACCTCACTTCTGGAGGCACAGAAAACCAGCCACTTTTACAAAATACCATTACTTTAAAGCCAATTCTGACAAATTCTGATATGGGAAATCCCACTGCCCGGTTAAAAAGCTTGTACTTTATAAAGGTGGCAGAGTCAATAAATGAGGTAAAGATAGTGGGTCACCTAAGATGTGTACAGGAGAAAAAAAATAGAATCAGATATTATGCAATTAGCAATTAGTTGTTAATGAAGATTCTGAGTTTGGAGTGTCAAAATGGGGATTGAAAAGGGGGGAAAAAAATAGAAGAGATACAGTAATTGTCCATAGCATTAGGGAGCCAAGGTTTAAGGAGTGGGTTGCAATTCTTTTTTCAGGGGCATTAGGAGCAGCTAATAAGATAGAACACTATGTTTGCAAATCTGGTCAACTTCATTGAAGGAGTCTTTTCTATATCAGTGTTGCTTAATATTAAAGGGAAAAGAAGCTGGTGGTTTTACATACGTGTATGGGCCCACAACCTATACCAATACGTCGTTCTTTAAGGAAGAGCTATCATATCTTCCTGAGTTGTGCAATCCATATTGGTGCACCGGTTCACAGGGTAGTAAAAGAGGTCACTAAGGAGCTATAACTGGAGAGCAGAGTCCTGGAGTAGGAGAGGGTAGCCAATGGGAGAGAGATTACCAACTTCTATAAGAGCTATATAATGAGGATAAGGAGTAAGAGCCGTTATTGGAAGGGACTGAGCAAAAGCCAATTAGTATTTCCAAAGTGGAGGTTAGGAACTTCTACAAGAGATATATAATGAGGGTGAGTAACAGCCGTTATTGGAAGGGACTGAATGGGGCCTATTAGTATTCCCAAAGCGGAGTGGCTGGAGTGAAGGTTAATGAAAGTTGCTTGGATTTTGGGGACTAATAAAGCTCTGGGACTGAATAGTTTTTCTATAGCCTTCTTCCAGGCTTGTTCAGATATAATTAAGTTGGACTTGCCCAAAGCGGACTGGTTGGAGTGAAGGTTAATGAAAGCTGCTTGGATTTTTGGGGACTAAAAAAGCTCTGGGACTGAATAGTTTTTCTATAGCCTTCTTCCAGGCTTGTTCGGATATAACTAAGGTGGACTTGATAAAGTGTTTGAGAAACTCTATCTTAATGAGATCGTACGTAATAAATGAACTTGACCTTTATCACCCTCATATCCAAAAAATCCTCTAATCAACACCCTATAGGTTTAATGACTAGTGCATACAAGATTATCTTTAAGAGTTAGTGAGGTTTTGGACGACATAATAATCAGAGTGCTTTTACGAATGGCTAGCAAATTCTGAACGCATCTGTTGTGGCGCAACAGTGGAGAATATGAATAAAACAAAGGAATGATAGTTCTAAAGCTAGATTTTTAGAAAGCCTACAATCGAAGGAATCAACTTCTTGGAGAAAGTGATATTAGGCAAAGGAACCCCACTCACTATTTCCTTTTATCTTGGTAGTAGGTGTCTTAAGTTGGAAGTTGGCAAAGGTTTGATGTGAGGGTCTGTAAAAAGATTTGTTGTTGAAGATAATAGAGTAAAAGGTGTCTCAGCTTCAATCCGTGGATCACAATGATTTTATTTCTATTATATGATAATAGCTTGGTGTTGAGCACATCTTAGGATTATGCATTAACCTAGCCAATAGCACATTGGTAGGAATCAACATGGCCAAAGATGAGGTGAAGAACCTGGCAGAAGTAATAGGTTGTTCAAAGTTAGCATGGCCAACTACTTATCTAGGTGTTCCATTGTGGTAATCCTAGGAGTATGTCTTTCTGGAATGTAGTAGTTAACAAAATGTCGAAAAGGCCAGAGTACTGGCACGGGTGCTTATTTTCTTTGAGGGCTAAAGTCACCTTAATATAGGTGCATGTCTAGCATACTACTATTGTTTATCACTATTAATAATACCAGAGGGGTAGCCATGACAGTGGAAGGGATTATGAGGAAGCTTTTGTGGGTCAATATAGGGGAGGCACATCGGGATCATTTGATGAATTGGGAAGTATACTATCAGTTCAAAACTTACACGGGCATGAGCATTATGAACCTAATATCAATAACTTATCATATTAACTAAATGGCTATGATGTTTTTCACAGGAACCTAGTTCACTATGTCACAAGGCAATGAAGTATACATGGTGACCAAAGAAACTAATGAAATGTTATAGCTAGTAGCTCCATGATAAACAAGTCCATGGAAAGTCATCTCTAGTTTGAAAAACATGTAAAATGGGGGAGATGGCTCCAGAGTACTGTTCTGGGAGGATATTTGGAGAGGCAATAGCACATTAGCTCCGTTTTCTCCATCTGTATACACCCATCCCGATTTTATATGCCATAGAGATGGTCCTGTAGTTTGGAACCTCCACTTCATATGCGATAGAGATGGTCAGTGACCACGAGATCAATGATACTCAAGCCACAACACACCAATTCTCATTTTATATGCCATAGAGATGGTCTCCTGTAGTTTGGAACCTCCAGAAACTTAAATTCCCTGAGATCAGTGATGTGCTAGCCCTGTTGCTAAGAGTGTGAGAAACCTTTTATTATTCCCAGCACGCTAGTAGCAACATTTGAAAAATAGATCCTCAGAGTTATACACTTGTAAATCTTTCTTTAATCACATAACCCATAATGCCAACTGATAGCATATTACTTCTATCAATGTGTTTTGGAAAGTTAAAGTCCCTTCGACAGCGAAGGTGTCTGCATGGACCACTATTCTAAACAAATTACACACTAATGAGTTGCTGCAAATTCACATGCCAAATCAAGCTCTTTCACCGAACATTCTGTTATGTGTTGCAGGAAAAGGGAGACATACAACCACTTATTCCTTCATTGCAACGTGGTATTGAAATTGCCAACAAGATTGTTGGTACGTTCCGTTTGACTTGGATTATTCCTTCTTCACTGGAGTGTTTTATAATTTGAACTTCAATGAAAGGGATGAGAAAAGTAGCTAAACCTCTCCAGCAAGGTGCTTTATTTGTGGTTTTATGGAGGATATGATTAGGACGAACTCACAGTATTTTTTAGGATTGTACCTTTCTGACCCAAGTTTTGTAGGAAAGGATGACACTGTTGGCATTCTTATGAGCAAAGGCCCACAAAGAGTTTTTTGATAATTTTTGCTTCTGTGTTAAATGGGCACCTAGGGCCAATAATACACTGATTTTGGGAGGGTCCAGCTGTCACTACTTTTCTCAGAGCTCTTATTCAGATGGTTCTAGGAGGATATCTTATCCTCCGTCGATGTAATGTATCCTTTCTCTTTCCTAATAATACATAAAACAATCTATAAACTTTCTTATCTGTATAATTCTATCTATAACTTGCTGAATTATCTGTGATTTGACTATGTTAGACCATAACAAATATTTGTTATAATGATATCAATACCTGGTCTGGTGCCCCTTTCTGGATCGAATGAATTGTACCTTCATGGTCAATGTGAGGCATTATATTCGCTTATCAGTGGGGTTGAAGGGAAAGCTTTTTGAATTACCAGCTTGTGCCATGTTAGTAGCCATAAATAAGAGCGAGAGCCTAATGCCTACAAGTAGCAGTTGGGTTTATGTAACAAACCAGTGATACTTCCATTTATGGAAGAGAAATTGTAATATTATGTGTTACCGACGTACTAAGAAGTTAATATCCCGATTACAGCAGCTTCCATGGCATCTCGATCTTCCCCTCTGGAGGTCACACTGCCACGAGAACAACAGTATCTGCATCTATCGCTTTAGCAAAGTATCTATTCAAAAGTATTGACAGAAAATTAGACTTAGAAACAATCAGTAGTTATAAATGAAACTCAAACTGGGTGTCCAGAACCAACCTCAATAAGAACCTCTCCAACTGCATGCTCCTTTGGAGTTAGTGACCTGTTTTATCACTGCAAAGCACACTCATGCCTGTTATTTCCTTTATCGCTGTAAGAAAGTTACTAATATATATTGGCAACCTCAAGCCATGCTTGGTAATATAGCAAGGTGTCATACCCCTGTTACAATACATTAAACAAACACTACCAAAGTATAATTCTCCAGAAAAATCTCTATTTCATGGTTTTATTAAACAACAAATGACACCAAGAAGATACAAGTATATGCGAGGGAAATAGAATATCTGCATTCTTCTGCAGATTCATCAGTAATAAGCCTCCTAGTCCAGGAAAGCATCAAAAAAATGGGGGCCAAAGCTATTTTACAATGTACAAGTAACAACTTCTTAAAACTACCTAACAACAGTCCATAAACAGTGGCTGATGCCACATGGAAGCCTAAATTACAATTGGACTACTCTCCTACAAATTAATAATGTTAATAAACAGACTATACCAGGCAACTAACATGAAGGAGGTTGAAGTTGCTTCAGCCGTCTAACAACTTGTTTCATAGTAGGCCTTGTCGATAGGGAATCCACGGTACATACAACGGCCAAATGTAGTACTTCAACAAGGTCATCATGAGGACCTGCATCCCATAATCCTGCTGTAAAGAATTCCTTTGCCCGTCCCTGTCTTAGGAGCATGCATGCCCACTGCACAATGTTGAACCCATTTCCATATGAAGAAAATGAGGGATCCAGGGCTTTCTTGTCTGAAAGCAACTCAAGTAGCACCACCCCATAGCTGTAAACATCCGCTTTATCAGAGACACGGCATGTCATTGCATATTCTGGAGCAACATACCCAAAAGTTCCAGCCACACCTGTCGTAGCATGAGTTTCTGACGTTCCCAGTAGTCTGGCCAGACCAAAGTCTGATAAATAAGCATTATAATCATCATCCAACAGAATATTGCTTGGCTTGACATCACGATGGAGGACCCGTGGTACACACTGGTCATGGAGGTAAGCAAGTGCCCGAGCTATGTCCAAGGCAATCTTGTGAAGAATTCTCCAATCTATAGCCCTCGTGGACCTTTCTTGGATAAAATTTTCCAAGTTACCCCCTGGCAAATAATTATATATTAGAAACATCTCAGCTTCACTGGCATGATAACCAATAAGAGTGACCAAATTTGGATGGCGGAGCCTCCCAAGGGTCTTGATTTCAGCATGGAATTGTTGAACACCCTGAAACCGCCCAATTGAAAGTCGTTTTATTGCCACTAAAACACCAGGTGAGATCTCTGCCTTGTATGTTGCCCCAAATCCCCCATTTCCAATGCAGTTGCTGGCATTGAAGTTTCCCGTCGCTCGCACAACATTATCATATGTCAATGCAACCCCAATATCTGTGAAAACTGTCACTTCTTTCTTTACAGTGCCCATAATCTTTGATTTTGGATTCCACTTCCTGGTGTAGAAGAATAAGACAATGAGAGCTAGAAGAACTGAAACTATGGCCGACGCAGATGCTATGGATGCTATTTCAATTGAATTGAAACCACCCTTCCCACTTTCAGCAGTGGTTAATGGGGAAGCAGCATAATTCTGTGGGTCTCCAACTCTTCCCTGAGGATCTGAAGATGGAACTGTTAGGGAAAACACATGGCAAGGTCGTAGATAAGGGTTTCCAAGAATGCTACTACATTTCATCAGATCATCATTCGGTAGTGAACCAGACAAGTTATTGAATGAGACATTGAATGTTGAGAGTGTGGTTACATTTGCCAAACCAGATGGTATCTGCCCGGAGAGTTTATTGTTGTTGAGCAAGAGAACAGTTAGATTTTTCAAGTTCACAAGCTCATCAGGAATCTCACCAGATAGAGAATTTGAAGAGAGCTCCAGTACTTCTAAAGATTGCAACTGCCCAAAGCTGGTTGGAATTGGCCCAGTCAGATTATTACCAGACAAGCTGAGATACTTCAGACTTTTTGCCTGCCCAAGACTGGTTGGAATCTGGTCTTGCAACACATTCCCACTCAAATTAAGAGCAACCAGAGACACCAAATCCCCAAAACTGGAGGGAAGAAGCCCAACAATGTGATTCATTGATGCATCCAGAAGTTTAAGAGACTGACAGAGTTTACCAATTTCCACCGGAATCTGACCAGACAGTACATTGTAACTAACATTCACATATACACCACCCAATCCACCGCATTTGGCAAAGAAATCCTCAAGGAATGATCCACTAAGTTTGTTATCTCCAGCATAAAATGCATAAGAAATGTGCTTCCCTAGTCTTTCAGATGGTATTGGCATCCATTGGAGACTGCCAGTAAAGTTGTTATCCCCAAAATTATGAAAGACAGCAGGACCTCCATCTCCTCCCAAAAAGAGCAAGGATCTTCCAACTTGAGCTTTATTGGCAAAAAAAGATAGATATGCAGACGATGGACTGTAGGATTCGATGGAATATCCACTGAAGTATACAATAGGAGGGCAGACACTGTTGTCAAATCTGGGGATTGAACCAGACAAAGCATTCCCACTGACATCAAATACATTCATACAAGGCACTCCAAGTTCGTGAATGAGTTTTCCTGTAAGTCGGTTAGAGCTTACGTCAAGAAGTCGCAATTTCTTGCAGCGCCCAAGCCCAACAGGGATATCTCCTGTCAAAAAATTCTGACCCAAATTGACCATCTCCAAATTGTCACAAGAACCCCAATCACTTGGCAACCTGCCCTCAAGCGTTGCCCTTGGAGCCCACAGAATCTTTAGATTTGGAAGTCTTGCGATTTCTCCTGGAATTCCGCCTTGATAAAAATTGAAGTCATCGTTCGTGGCAGCCAAGTCCAAGTCCGAGGATGGCGCTCCACGTGTACCATTAAGGTCCTCATATACGTTATATAGATTCGAAAGCACAAGCACATTTAATGCGGAACAGTTTCCAAGTTCAGTTGGTATCGGACCACTAAGGCTGTTCCTTGAAACGTCCAACACTTCAAGATTCTGGAGCTGACCCAAATCAGCTGGAATTGTTTCCTCCAACATATTCGCATACAGCAACAGCGAACGCAGTTTGCGACAATTCCCCAGATTACGTGGAATGCCGCCAGTTAACAAATTAGCAGATAGATCTAAATGCTCAAGCTTGCTACAATGTTCTCCAATATCACTAGGTAAAGGTCCTTTCAGCCAATTAAAAAGTAAATAGACACCCTTGAATCTACCAACAAATCCAGGAACCGTTCCATTAATCTGATTACCAGCCAAATTCAGAATCTCCAAATCCAAACAATTGGCAAGCGACCCTGGTATCTGCCCAGAAATCTTGTTAAAACCCAGATTAAGAACCCGTAAGTTCCTTAACCCCATAAATCGAACTGGCAACAAGCCAGATATCAAATTCGCCTCCAGATCAAGAACTAAAAGCTTTTCCATTTCCCAGATTTCAATAGGAATCTCACCATAAAAACCGTTAAAGGGAAGTGATAAAACCCTAAGTTCAGCGAGATCAGCAATCGCAGCCGTCAGTTTTCCTACCAAAATTCCACTGCCAAGACTACAGTTCCTCCTAATACCAAACCCATAAAGCGGAAACTGCCCAATATCAGAACAAAGAAAATGGTTTCGACTTCCGTTGAACTTACCTTTGTCACTGCCGTGTCCACTAATGTTGAGGGACACAACACGGGAACTGGAATCACAGTACACACCGGACCAAGAGCAGTGATCAGAACTTTCAGCACGCCAACTTGAGAGCATCCCTTCCGGGTCCGACACTGATTCCTTGAACTGAAGCAACGCCGATTTGTCAGTATCGGCGACGACTGTACCGCTTTGAGCAAAGAAAAGGACCCAACAGAACAACAACAGCGAGAAAACGAGACTAGGGGACATAGGATTATGAAAAAAGTACCACTTGATCACTGAAGAAGGCAAAGAAGCCATTTTCTTTAGTACCCTCTGTAAAGGGTTTGTCTTCCTATTGGAAACCAAAGAGAAGCACTAAACCCTCTTTTTCCTGTTTGGTTCTGGAGGTAAAAGAGAGGGTTTTTCGTGGTGGAAAACCCTAACCTTAACCCTAATTTCGGGGTTCCCGTGAAGAGAAAGGAAGGAGGAGGTAAGAGGAAACTGGAGAAAAAAGATTCAACTGGGTTCTGCCGAGAAAAACGCGTTTTTCTTTCTCTGTTTGCTTTATTCCCTTTTTTCCTCTCACCTTAATTTTGAACTTTCCTTTTCTTTTTTTCCTGATGGGCTGTTTTTTTTTTCCTCCTAATTCTTAATTAATACAGGCTTTGTCGTTTTGTTTTCCAAGAAAAAATCCTCTACTAACGTGTACTGCTGAACTCTCCATCTTCTACCCAATCGTCTAACGACACGTGAGTAATATGGTCATCAAAAACTCATCAACACCGTCAGTTGATCTTTAATTTTTTGATGACTGTTGATCTAAGAAAGTAGAGCTTCTTTCTGTTTTGCTTTCAATTCCCTCTCTAACCTTTCCTTTATTGAAAATAATAATCGATAAATTAAAAAAAAAAAAGCGAAAATATATTATGGGCTTACTGTGGGTACACGTGTCAATAAACAAATGGCCTGCGTATGGAGATCCAGTAGTTCATGTAGTAGAATACATTATTTACGGTTTTTGGGGGGTAATGGGACCCACAGGACATACGGAGTTAGAGTAGGGCCCGTGAGCCGGTCAATAAATGCATCACCACCGTCAATTCAAAAGGCTATTAGTAGTTAGGAACTTTGATGCACATCGAAGGGGGGAAGGAGAATTTTAAGTTGTACCACGTGGATTTGGATAAAGGCATCCACGTGGGATGTCCTAAAGTAGGACCCATATCCTTTGCTGAATAGTTGAGTTGAGGAGGGTTTTCTGAGGTCCAGATCAAATGTGGGTCCCACTCGTCGCCCCTAAAACTTCCTGTTTAATCAGAGATTACACCGCAAATTATTCAAGTTTACTTGTAAATATATTTTGTTAAGCAAATAATTTATGTTAACAAAAATGAAAATAAAGTATAGAAAAATATTTCAGTAACTTGTTAAAGAATATAATTGTGACAGATGAAGTATAGTTTATTTTAAGATATATAATTAAAGTCACGACGGAAATATAATTGGAAATAAATTTTAAAATATGCATGGGAAAAGGTTGATGTGTGCCTACTCAAAAACTTTATAATTAAAAAAACTTATATAATTACAAATCAAGAATGGGATTTGAAATTTGGTATTCCCAATAAATAAATAAAAAAAAAAAAAAGAGAATCTGCTCGATGGGTCTTAAATTAATGTTGTGATTTGCATATCAACCTCCAGTTGTAGACATCTTTAAATACCATAAAACTTTATTACATGTCTGTCCATACGAATAATCAATTCCACCACACAATCTTTTTCTTTTTAAGCAAATTATCATCATATACGTATAAATAGATGAATCCACCAACAGTTATTGTTTAACGCAATTAATTTATATGATTAAAAATAATTAATTAGTAATTAAGGAAACAGAAGACAAAAACTTTATGATATATTAATATTAGTTTTATTTTTAGTCATTCTTTAATTACGACCGTGTGATGAATTAAGTGACGTAGGTCTGCGTATGCCGACGGCGTGAATTATTGTCTCCTTGGCCTTTTTAATTCAATCACCTTATCCAGATATTGATATTATTTTTTATAATTATAACAATTAAATATTAATCTTAATAATTAAATTTAAAAGAGAGATTCATTTATCTTAATTATCTATTACCACCGAAACACATGTTCTCCTTCAAGATTGAGGCTGTTGGCAACTTCAATCATCTGTATAACCACAAAATTCTAATATGCCTAAGCCTATGTGTGTATGCATACATGTACACACACACACACACACACACACACACACACACATCACCCGTCACGGCTTAATCAATCAAATTCAAAGATATATATATATATATATATATATAATATAATTGTGTCTAATTGTTTGGATCACTCCCTCCTAATATACATACCACTTTCTATCAATACTAATTAACAAGCACCTGCTCCCTAAGAGAATCAATCAAATTAGGCTATACAAATGTAACCAGTAAACAGAATACAAATATCAAATGACCTCTCTTACGTGTTTTCCTCCAATACAAATTGTACATTCAAAGATAGTTTGATCATTCAGAAGATCATCGGATGAAGTTTTGCACCGTTTGATGAGAATGCTGAAGAAAGAATCATTAAGGTTGTGTCGGTTTGACTTATATGTCTGCGAACCTGGAGACTGATAAGTTCTTGATCTGCCATTTAAGGTTTTTGTCTTTTTGTTTTAACTCTAATTCTCCGTCAGCAACGAAGTGATGGGCAACAATAGAAGCAAGAAAACCAGCCGCCGTCAGCTTTTGGAGTTGTTGCCGGCGTTTGTGGCTGCAAATCCTGACTCTGTCCCAAAGACTGGGCTCTATTACCTCCCAGCTCCGGCGACTTCTGCTGATCTTGACGATGCTGCGGCCTCGGTGAATGCTGCCTCCCCATGTGGAAACCCACGTTCATATTTGACCCGTATTTGCCTTGATCATTATGTTCTGCAAGCCTGAAAAATTCACCACCACATTCATGTTTTCGGTTAAATCATAGATTTGATCGGAACCCATCAAAGAGACGTACTCAAGAATTCAATTATGTAAATAATTTGCAACGTTTAGAAAAGGAAAACTCACACTGGGAAGGCAAATGAACAGGTGCTGTTATTGCTTCCATCAGATCTGCAAGACATGCTTGAAGAATGCCTGGCCTCCCCAGATGCAGTAGCCTTTTTTTCTCCACTGTTATTCAATTGTTGATCAGTTTCAATGGAAACTACTGGTGATTTATTATCATTTGTCACCTCTGTTTCTGCCGAATTAGGAGTACTCTTCCCCTCCAACATTTTTGTCTCTTCTGAATCTCTTTTTTGGGGTTTCATGTCCGTGTCTTGTGATTCATCAGGAGTAGGAAGAGTATCTGGAAGTTGGGATGGATTTGGAGGTAGAGCTGGAGATGGAGATGGAGACGGAGGTGGAGTCGGAGCTTGAGGCGGAGCTGGAAGAGGGACTGGAGATGGATGTGGAGCGCCGTGAGATGGGGGCACAGGAGGGTTCATCATTTCATCATACTTGTATAATTCACCAGATTTATAGAACATAAAAAATTGATCCCTGGAGAAGCTGCCATTGCCAACAGGAATGCTAAACAATGATTCATTTGAAGCAACACTCCATTCCAATGGTGATGCAGGTTTGCTAGCAAAAATAGATGATGGAATCCTATTTGGGTCATAGTCAGTTGACCCAATCAATTGATTTTGAGGAAGAAGATGACAATTGGGCTTATCTGCTGAACTTTTGGGTTCTCCAGATTGAGACTTTTGGCTGACTTCTATAATATCTTCTCCTGATAAAACCTCTGATGATGTCGATGACGATGATAATGGTGATGAGGATGCTGATGATGATACAGAATCTTCAGACTTATTGCTATGAGGCTCAACTCCCTTGTTGGAAACCTCAATATCTGTCAAATGCTTGCTACTTTCCTTCTTGTTCTCGTAATCCATGGCATCATCCATCTGATCAACTCAACTTGATCCTCCTCAACAATACAATTGATATTTCTGATTACCAAAAAGGACATGGAATTCCAAGAGATGTCAGATTAACATAATAACATCCGCAATAATTCAACTTAACCTTATATAACTTCTATTTCTTTTTCCGTTCATGCAAAATAATATAACTGATAACATTGCAGGCGTTTTCAAAAACTTGAGATTGTGGGTCAACAATTTTGCAGTCTGGGAAATTAAAATTCAATTTTAGGAAATTGGGTATTGATAAATAACACAAATATAAACTAATGAACGAAGATGATTGATTAATAATATAACTCACCCTGGATTATCAGAAATCTCCCTGGCGTTGAGCTCTTGACTGAAACCCAGAAAGTTAAATGAAAGGAACCAAAAACTGAGGACAAAACCCTGTTTAAACCCAAAGGAATGAAGAAAAAGAATACAGAAGAAGAAAAGAAGAAGGACGAGAAAGAAATGAGGAAGATGACAAGGAAGAAGACGAGGATTTTGCGTGTAATCGTGTAAGAAGGGAAGGACACGAGAAGATTTCGGGATTTATTTAAGGTTTGTTTTGCAACTTCCAAGTAACAGACGCTGTGAAAGACATTTATTTCCATTCCCTTACGCGGGAAAGATGAACTCTGACAAGTTGGCTTCTCTGAAACATAATTGTAATTAATTAAATGTAGACCAAAAATTAATTTAATCATAAAATAAAATTCGTATTTTTTCTGGTGCAAAAAATTTGTTTTTAATTGACCTAAATTTTTTTAAATTCGGATTATATAGTAAATCTATGAAGTACTTGGGATGATTTTACAATGCAGTTAGTTAATAAACAATCAAAAAAACTTACAGTGGAAGCAAACTAAACGCGGTTAAATTGAGATAAATTTAGATTTTCATTCCTTAACTTAATTGATCTGGCACCAGTTTTGCTCTTTTCTTTTTCAAAGACTTATTTATTATTAATTTAAAAGTTCCCTGTTCATTTTAAGTAATTCCATGTTTTAAATTATCACAAAATTAATTAATGGGTAATAAAAATTTGTTGAGATAAATAATGTAATAATAAATAACTAATTATTTAAAAATCAATTAAAAATTACTTATAATAATTATATCATTTTCCTTTCTTTGAGTCTTTGGAGATTAAGATTTTTTTGGGCCAAAATACTTTAAGAGATTGAAATTAAGCCCAAACTCTTGAACACATTTTTTTAATATGAAATAATTTGCAAGTGTGGGGGACCAAACTTACAAGGTTTGTAGAGAGGAGGGTGACTACAGGGAATACATGAAAAATGAGGGGTAAGATCTTGAATTATTAAAAAAAAAAAAAAAAAAAGAGGGGCTCTCTCTCTCTCCGTCATATTGTTATCGGAAGTATGTGTTCTGAAAAATGCTTTCACAGTTTGGGTTTGAGAAACGAAGAGATGCAGACGATTGCAAGAAATTTGGTGGGTGTAAACAATGGAACTGTTAAGGGTACGTTTGTTTCTTTTCAACTCTTGTTGTTTAATCATACCCAAAAAAAAAAAAAGAGAGAATTTCTTGATTATGATTAGTGAAAAAGGAAAAGCAGCAAATTTGGGTGTGGAACTGCAAGTAGAAACTAGAGGAAATTTAGTTAAAGTTGAACCATACACCACCTAAGAGATTTGTATGGTATATATATATATTGATATTGGTATTAAAGGGTACCCAAAAGCTAAGATTTCTTGGATAAGGGTTAAAATTTATGATACTGTTTCAAGCAGTGAAGTTTATTTTAATGTTACTTGATATATCAGAAGGCAGAGAAAACCAGATCCATATTTACATTAGTTTACCCTTGTAGAAACTAGAGGAAATTTAGTTAAAGTTGAACCATACACCACCTAAGAGATTTGTATGGTATATATATATATTGATATTGGTATTAAAGGGTACCCAAAAGCTAAGATTTCTTGGATAAGGGTTAAAATTTATGATACTGTTTCAAGCAGTGAAGTTTATTTCAATGTTACTTGATATATCAGAAGGCAGAGAAAACCAGATCCATATTTACATTAGTTTACCCTTGTATAGAATAATCAAATTCACGTTGAAATTACCCAATGTTTTGCAGGGACAAAAGCATCAAAATACCACCCTTCCACATTACTTGTCCATACTACTTCCATATCCATGGTTGACAATATGAACTCATCAATTCATCCCCAACCACAAAAATTGGATAGCCTGAGCAGGAAGATTAAGGTTGGTGTTCTTTCTGTCTAACAATGGAGTTCAATGGACAGAGTTGGGTACTTAAAAATACCATTTTTATCAGGTTTTTGCTGCAAGAAGAAGAAGTGTTTACTCGTCTACAGACACTTACGTGCTACTGGAACCTGGAGAAGAGGAGATATTTGTTTCAGGAGAAGAACTAAGAGCCAAACTGAAAGGTTGGCTTGAAAACTGGCCAGGCACCCTGCCACCAGACCTTGCAAGATTTTTATCCATTGATGATGCAGTTTCTTACCTGGTCAAATCTGTTTGCGAGCTTGAAATTGATGGAGATGTTGGTTCTATCCAATGGTACCAAGTTAGATTGGAATAGCAAAAGCTTCTTTATACTTTTTATATATGAAGAAAATTTCAATCATATATTAAATATATTATATATATGTATGTATCATAATTTAGCTTCTTCTTCTTTACATCCAAGCATATATGTCAACCAGAACACTGAAATGAAAAGGCAATGGACAGTTTTTATAACATAAACCAAATTGTTTCTGCATAAAAATGCCTGATCAAAAAAATTACAAGATATACCCACTTCCATAAAGAAATTCTCTAGAATTGGATGATAAAACTGAAACATTTACATATAGATAAGAGCAGAAATGCAGCTGGGAAAATATTAATGGATTCTCTAAACCCTTGTACATTTTCATGCGATTTAGCATTCAATGCCTTCCTTTTGACTCAAACCCACATCTTGAACATGCAAGTCTTGGATCTGCGACCAATTGCGAAAAGAAAAACAGAAGAAAAAAGTGAAGGCCAATTACCTAAAATCAATTGCAAATTTTCTTGTATCTGCTGTTGAAGCCTAAAAAAATTTCTACTTCTAGATCTGAAAGGAAGACTAATTAATACCTTGGTGTGGTTAATGCTGGGAGGTAGAAGTATTCCGCCCTTTCTGTTTCTTGCAAGCAGGCCTTTCGTGACCGGTGACATCACAGAATCAGTTGGACTCCTGTACCTGAAAATTTCAAAAAAAATAAATTAAAACACACAGAAAAAAAAAGAACTGACAAACTAAATTCTATAAGATTATTTCCGCCAATCGAAGCAAAATACTGGGATCAGTGGGGCTTAGGGAATAGGATTTGCCTTTCGGGGTACTTAAATGCCTTGGGGAGCTTGAGTCGGTCGGGGGTGATAGGTTTTCGCAGTTCATAAGCGGCTGAATCTCGAGATATTTGTTGAATCGGAGATGGTGTTTCGCTGTCTGATTCTGTTGAGACTTTGGATTGCAAACTCGAATTTGTTGAATCGGAGACGGTGTTTTCAATAACCGGAAACTCCATTGAATTGCAAATGAGATGGATCAACTGTAAGTAATTGAATCAATGTTGATTGATTGAGATCAGTCAATGAACACAAGAATCTTGACAGAATAACGTACCTGATGTGATGTCCTTTTCTCCCTTTCCTCAAGTTGGGAAAACAAATTCAAGGAGCGAGAGAGAGAGAAAGGGAGAGAGATAAATCTAGAAAAGAGAAGACGAAATATAAATGAGAGGGTTTTGGGAAGAGGGTTTGCAACGGTCGAATTTGCAGACTCTTGTAGCCGTTGAGATTCAAAGTAAAATTTTCATTTTCTTAATTAATGAAACAAGGAAAAAGAAAATAAATTGCCTATTTTTTAAGAAAATAAATATTATTCATTCTTCACTTTTTATATTAACGGCTATAATGATATTTAAAGGGGAAAAAAAGAAAAAAAAAACTATAATTTTTATATTCATTGTAAAAATATATCATAATTATATTGGATTTTTTTTTTTTAAAAAAAAAAGAAAAACTCTCATTGTGTTTGAAAAACAATGTTAACCTGTAATTAAAAAGAATCACATTATTTTTAAAAATGCATTATATATATATAGTACTATAACTAAAATTACCAAAAAAAAAAAAGATTTTATGATTTTATTGTGAATTTATAAAATAAAAGAAATGTCTTCCACAAATTATTTAAAGTACTCTTAATTTAAAAAAAAAAAAGTTATATACTGTTAAAAACTCATTTAAAAAAAAAAAAATTCGTGCATGAAATTATTTTGCAAGGAAAAGTTTTTTTAGTCTAATCTACAAAAAAAAAAAAAAAAATCCCCCCTATAAAATACGTGTGGGTGTATACACACACACATATATATATATATATATATATAAGCCAAGAGTCATATTACGAGAAGAAGATAAGATTTGCCCCCTTTTGTAGAGAAGGTTTATGAAACATAAAGCAATGTATTTAATTGCTAATTTCGATTTTCTAGAGAATCAATTATTCACCAATTACTTGACATGGTTTGGAGTCTAAAATTACAACCGAGCACAAATATGTAATTCGCTTCACTAAGTTTATTTTAAGCTTACATATATAGTTATAGCTCAAAATATTCTATTTTTTATATTGAAAGAATTTTGTAATATTTTGATATATATTTTAATTTTAAATTTTTATTTATATTTTTTTATAAATTTATTAGGTCACTGTTAATATAATTATGTATTTAATTTTTTTCAAAAAATTTATTAATCTAAAGCTGGGTTAACAATGTCGTTTTATACGTTGCAATTTTCAATGTGATGACTTATTTTGTCCAAAACTTCGTACTTAAGCAACATCTTCTCACATGAGTTTGTTTGTATATACATCCCATACGTATGCTAAATTGATAAAATAAAAATTTAGACTTATATATTTGTTATCAATTTATATTTATAAAGAATTAACCTTAATTATATTTATTACTTAAATATATGTACACACACATATGTATCAAAATATATATCATTTCATATATAAATAATTTATAAAATTAAATAGGTGGGATGTGGGTGTATGTTATTATTTACCAAAGAGAGTGATCAAGTGCTTGTGTGGGAGGATTTTGGAGTTACAAAGATTGGCATGGTGCATTGTTATACTCTCATAATGGCTTAAATTGACCACCTTAAAATTCAATAGCAATGATATCGTACACAAGTTAAATTGACAACCAAGTGGATTAGGCTTTCTCTAATGGTGACTAGCCATAGATGCTAGTCTTAAAGCTCGATCATAAAACACTTGGACAACATCCCACAACTCATGTCATTTACTTTAATCAAAACATTACAAGGTCTTCTTAAACCATCATTTTATCTCTAGGATCATTGGCATCCTCTTCTCATTTTAAATTGAACAGAAAAAAACTTAATTGAAAAATCCACATTGTGGTCTTCTTTGGCCAACCACAATCCACATTACCACTAACATGTTGTGGTCCAAGCTGCACCCTGGCCTCCAAAAAGAATTACTTCTCTCAGAAAAGACCATCCAAAAATTTCAGACAAAGTTTTTTGGTTTTTGAGGTCAAAATTGTTTTATTTGAAGGCTTAACTGTGCACCACAAGTTCATCAATTCAATGTTGATAAACACAAGTCCATTATCTTCACCCAACTCTTTTCTTTTTCCTTTCTATTAAATTCAATGTTGATTACGAATATATACTGGAAATATATATATATATATATATAGAGAGAGAGAGAGAGAGAGAGAGCACAGGAAAGGTTTATTGCAGTTTTAGATAGGAAAAGAGAAGTGAGGCCCGACCTATGAAATATGAATTGGTGTTTTGAAAATAGAGACTGAGCATTTCAAGGCTTGTGCAGGTCTCTCTCTCTCTCTCTCTCTCTATATATATATATATATATATATACACACACACACACACCCCATTCACTGCTTGATGGTGACTACACTTTTTTAAAAAATATATATCTTCTTTCCTTCTCTTTATCTTCTCTTCTCCCTTCAATAACTACCACTGTAAATGTATATAGTCTATACATACAGATGCACTCCTGCTCGTAAAAAGCTGAGCATTACCAACTACTACCCTCATAAATACCATTATTATTACTTCCACTCTTCCTCCCCTCTACTATCCTACTGCCTATATCTACATTCTACATCTACGACATCATTTAATATTTACATATAATATATAAATAATTATATTAGAGAATTATGTAATGAATTAAAGAATATTTGAATATATTAGATAGATAGTCATTTCAGTACATGTCTTTGAATTGAACACTCAAAGACAGCCATGATGATGATTCAGTGGTGACATATATTTCTTTTTATAAAAATTCATGCATTATATTTGTATGTTAATATATTAATAATACATTTTTTATATATAAAATAAAAAGACATTCAAGATGGACGACGTGCATTGAGAATTCAAACACACCTTCATGGAAGCTATCGTGTTAGATTAATTAATAATTATGTCCTATCATATATACACACAAGTTATTCTGTCTATGATGATTAAATATCGCACAAAATAACTCCTGTGATTAATTAATTAATTAATTAATATTACAAGTTAATTATATTCGTCTAGTTAGATTTCATGTAAACTACAGTCGTGTGTGTGTATATATATATAATATTATAAAAGAGAAAAATATAAAGAAACAGAAGAAGTGGTGGAGATGAGTGGAGAAAATGGAAGTGGGAGACATTGAAATGGCAAATAATACTATTCCACGTTCACTACCATTCTTCTTTTTTTTTTCTTTTTCGAAAACCAGTCACTCACCATCTTACCCTCGCGTGCTATTTACCAAAAAAAAAAAAAAAAAAAAACTGGCTTAAAAAAGAACAACCATAAATAAAAACCTAATCTCTTAGTTTTACTAAAATAAAAGGTAGATACCTTTGTATAACAATTTCTTTATGGTATCTTAAAAGTGTTTCTATTTTTTCCTACTTAATTAGGGAGAATAATTCTTTTGCTCCCTCGCTTTGTTCATTAATTTTTTCAGAAAGTAACATGTCCATTTATTTAAAGGAGATAAAATACTTAAGTATGGTTATTGCTTTAATATTGTACTTTAGATGATCTTATTATTCTATTTACTCTTATATTTGACTCTAAAAATATTATAGATACAATCTAAATATCTTAATATTCTCAACATGTACACAACATAAAAGAAATAATAAATATTAGGAAATTTTCTAGTAACAAGTTTATGATTCTCAAGTGAGTAATGTAGCGAGAATGCTAGCAAATATATGAGCTTCAAGGTGGTAAATACAGTACTTGTGATTTAGTTAGCTTTTGGAAGTATTCATATGAGAATGATGGAGAGACACGTAGTACATGAAGGGGAATTTTAGGAGACTCCAGTGAATGTAAAAAAACAGTAAATGATTGGAACAATTTTAACATTTTTATGTCAAGGGTAGGGAGGCTTGTTAATCTTGCTTCAATAGCTCAAACATTAGCATATTAGGCAGCTCCAAGTTAAGCAGATATTAGAATGTTTGTCCTTTAAAATGTCCAAAGAAAGATATTTGATGCTATTATTAACTCTTTTACAAATTCTTTATATAATTATTAGTAGGGTAGTTTTATATAAAGATGGACCTGTTGTTCGATTGTTTACCAAGGCTCGTTGTATGAAGAGTACGAATGGGCTGAAATATACGTATTAAGGGACACATGCAATGTCTTGGTTCAAGCATAATGAATTTGCCAATGTCCCGTCCGAAGATAGAAGTTCGTCTAAAAAATGTGTGGCATTTTCTTAGGGCCTAAGCATAGTGGTGCTGCCATTAACATATTATAAAAACTAATGTTGACGTGTATAAGGCATGTTGTGCACCATGTAGTTAAAGAAACATGCATGTTTTCAAAATGAATGTATCATGTAAGCTTGCATCGTATTCAGAGGACAAACTTTTTTATCAAAATAAGTAGTAATCACTGTGTTTGTGAACTAATGAACTTGGTGTTTTTCATTTTTTATTTTTTAAAAGCTCCAAATTTCTCACTCGTGGCTATCCTTTATGCTTTTTGTTATTTAATTTAGATGAATGAAGTGCTTTTAGAGATAAGATTGATTGTTGCAGTAATAACTTTTTTTTTTTTCCTAGTTAGGGTATAGAGATATGATTAATTATAGTAGTAAATACTTTTATTGTAGTTATCTTATGAGTATTCATTGAGTTGGATAAAAGGTAAAAGAAAAAAAAAACAAATATTTTATATCAAGGAAATTATGTATTGACAATTTCAAATGGTAGGAAATTGGGGGCCTTTAAAAAGACATTTGTTTCAAGAAATGGGCAGAGATTTTTGGGTAATGAGATTGAACATATAATAGATCTTGCAATTAATGTTCGTTGGTGACTAAACTAGGTTTCTAAGAATCTACTACGCCCACATGTTGTAGCTTCACACGAAGTTGAGGAATCCTGCGATACTTGCAAAGAAAGATTAACAAATAGAACAGTAAATTAATTAAACTTAATACAAAACATTACATGTATGCAGTTTTCGAATTAAGGTTAAAATGATAATAAGTGAGGCAATATGAAGAATTGAGAGATAAAACACTTTTAGCGTCCAAAGTTGTAATGATTATTTTGACTCCATATAAGGGGAAATAACACAATGAAAAATTCAAAAGAATTAAAGAAGTGTAGTTTACAAATTAAAAATAATGGAGAACGAGTATAAAGAAGTTTAATTTAGAGGTAATGAATAATTGGAAACCATTTCGAAGAAAAAATTTCAATAAAAGATGAACACAGTTGTTGAATATCAAACTAAATATGTTGTTTTGTTTTTTTTTTATTGTGAGTTAAACAATAACTAGTTCCCTGTTGAAATTTACAGGAGCATGTCCTCATAAATTCGCGTAAGCTTCTTTAATGTAATTTCCCATGACAAATTAAGGAAGTATACTCAACTTCCTATTAGGTTTAGAAAAAGGTAATTAAAACTATTTATTAGTGTAATAGAATTCTCAGTTCTTCAAAATAATAGTAATCCATGTTCAACATGCAATGATAAATAATTTGTATACCAAAAACTAATTTGGAATCATGAACATTGGTGCATGTGATTGTTTTATGTAGGAAAGTTTTCAAAGCAATCGTTAAAGCATGCATACGGGTATACATATATATACATATATACATGTATCGGACGAAATATTAAGCCAATTAAAAATATTTATATTCTTTTATAGTTACTAAACCTTCCAGCTGTAGACCGTGGAAAATACGTTATGTGTTCTTTAGTACATATGAGCTTTAGTTTTTTTTCTACAGAACTTGTTCAACTGTCCAACAGGACAATAATAATTAATATCAGCTTCTAAATAAATGCAACAGAAAATTAGGGTCCTTAGACTCCCCCAGAAAAGGAAATATCTCACATTTAAATTGTTGGAACCAGCCAACCACCACCATAGACGACGAAATCAATACATACATACATACATAATAACTATATAGAATTATCCCCTATATATATATATACGTTATATGTATGTATGCGTATATAATACAACTCATCATCACATGAAAAGTTATTCAAAAAAAAAAAAAAAAAAAAAGAGACGAATAGAGAAAAAAGGGGTTGATAAAGGAAAAAGATGGTCAAAGTTCTGGTACGTGAATACAAGAGGAATTAATGGAGGATTAAAGGGACTGTTTCGTGGGCGTGAAAACCATGTGATCCCATGATAAGACAAAATTAACTCATCCAACCAAAATAATAATAACCAAAATTAATGTATTTGAACACCCATATTATATATTCTACTCTAGAAAAATATATTAGTCATTTATAGTACAAATATATCCTTCATTAATGCAAAGCAAAAGGGCATTTAATATGCATTTCTAAAGGGTAATATTGTTATTTCAAACATGGGACCTCTGGTTTTTTTTTTATAAAAATTAACAGATTAATTATTGTGTTATCTGGGTTGCAAGCAGACCACCTCAGTCTCTCTGTCTCTCTCTCTCTCTCCTATTTAATCCAGTCTCCTATTCCATGCTCACTTCACATCACTGCTCGTACCCACTACTTTTTCTTCTTCTTCTGCGCTAAAGGTCATGGCCATGGCGATCAAGACACAGATCTTTCTTTACATGTTTCTTGTTTTGCTTAGTAAAGGGTCTGCGAGTAAACAAGAAGAAGAAGAAGCTGACAGGATTTCAGCACTTCCTGGGCAACCAAAAGTATCATTTCAACAGTTCTCTGGTTATATTACTGTCAACCGAGTTGCAGGCAGAGCTCTCTTTTACTGGCTCGCTGAAGCCGTACATGCTCCCTTATCTAAGCCTTTGGTTATTTGGCTTAATGGAGGTAACTAATGTCGCCCTTCACCTTCTTAATTATTGCATTATACACATATATATATATATATATACTTGATTACATATACATGTATTGGTAATTATGACAACTTGTTTATGTACTGTTGTGATGTATTGTTTGTGACATTCATTAATGTGCATTAGCAGATCATTATCATTTTGAAAGGTACCACATCAACACTT